TCGCTTGAGCCCAGGAGTTTGAGGTTGCTGTGAGCTAGGCTGACGCCACGGCACTCACTCTAGCCCAGGCAACACAGTGAGACTCTGTCTCAAAATAAATAAATAAATAAAATATCAGTTAGTGACATTGACATCTATCTGATAACACAAGCTGGAAACTTCTGTCATGGGTTGGTGCATCTCCTCCTTAAAATCTCTATGCTTCCTGGCTGGGCTCAGTGGCTCAAGCCTATAATCCTGTCACTCTGGGAGGCCAAGGCAGGAGGATTGCTTGAGGCCAGGAGTTTGAGACCAGTCTGAGCAAGTGCGAGACCCCATCTCTACAAAAAATAGAAAAAATTAGCTGGGCATGATGGTGCATGCCTGTAGTCCCAGCTACTCAGGAGGCTGAGGCAGGAGAATCACTTGACCCCAGGAGTTTGAGGTTGCAGTGAGCTATGATGATACTACTGTACTGTAGTCTGGTCAAGAAAGCAAGAGTCTGTCTCCAAAATAAAAAAAGTCTCTATGCTTCCCATTAAAAGGGACTAAAGTTCCTAAGACACACAAGGTCTTTCATAGTATAGCCCCAATCTGTCTTTTCAAGCTCATTTTGGGCACTTGTGTTCTCCTCCCACCCACCCCATCTACCACCTCTTTTCTCCTCCACCCTCTTTAGGCTTTTCTCTGTAGTTTATAGTTCTGGAGGTAAGCAGGGGGAAATAGGCCAGCAAGAACACCCCTTTAAGCCATACACAGCATATTCCTACCTTTTTATGATTTCATTCATGCTTGTTCTGTAAATAAATGCTTCTATCTCTGTTTCTATCTCTGCCTGAAGAACTGCTTTCCTCTAGTATAACTCATCTTTTCCTGTATTAAGAAGCTTTCCCTAACTTATCTAGGCAAAATTATCTCTAGCTTTGTGACCCATTGCACTTTTTTTATACTACTAATATGACATTACAATATCATTATGTCTCTTACTCCCTTAATAGATTGCCAGCTTATTGGGATAGAACTCTCATATTCCTTTTTTTATCCTGAGTAGTCATTGTGTATGTATTTAAACAAAATTAAACTTTTGTTATATTTGAAACACCACATTTTTCATTAGTTCAAAAATTTACCAGTAAAGAAGACTTTTTTATAGTTAGAATATTTTTGTCCTAGAAATAATACATTTTCAAAGTTTTAATAACCTCTTAAATTATCTTAAAATGGAACAGAGGTAATGAATTTTAGGAATTAGCATTCCAAATTACAAGTTACCAGTTACTTCTAGAGGGGCTATAGCACTAGAGGTTATGATAGTACTTTTTTGTATTTCAAATCCTTGGATTCGCAGCAGATGTAAGGAAGATAACCCCTGAAAGCCTGGCATTTTTTGCACTAAATCATTTGTCACCTCAATATTATGGAGCAGTAGTAACTAATATCTTCCATTCCTGTGAAGTTTTGCAGGCCTTGGAGGTACTCCCAGTAGCACCGCCACCTGAGCCAAGACCATTGACAGCAGAAGAAGTAAAACAACTAGAAGAACAAGAAGAAGATACATTTAGAGAACTGAGGATTTTCTTAAGAAATGTTACACACAGACTTGCTATTGACAAGCGATTCCGAGTATTTACTAAGCCTGTTGACCCTGATGAGGTATTAATTTAATCTTTGGATCAAATGTGTTCTAGGCCATAATGCTTCAAAATCCAAGAATATTTGAATAGTTTGTGTGGTTCCTTGTCTACACTGTGAACTCGTTTTCTCTGTATGGAAAACATGTACTGAGTTAGTGTCCTAAGCACATGAAGACTTTAAAAGCTATGTAACACATTTTCCTTTCTTTCAGACAATTGACTTTGTCTGCCTAATCCAAACATTATAGAAGGAATTCAAGAGTATCTTAATGCCACATGATATTACTATGACCTACAAAGTTGGAAGTGAGCTAAAGAGCTAGGTCTTAAGTTGCCATTGATGACCGGCAATTGGATAAGAAAAGAATACAGGATATTACTGGAAAATACAGCTGCCCATGAACAGGAATGAATATAAATACAAGCAGCATTAGATAGAGTCAAAGGTTTCATGTTAATATATTATCATTATTTCTTATATGTTTCTTCCCTATTCCCTGTATTGCCTGGCAGAGAAACTTGACTCAAGTGTTTTTTATGTTTAGAGTTAATTTAGTGATTTGGTCATTTGCTTGAATTTTAGGTTCCTGATTATGTCACTGTAATAAAGCAACCAATGGACCTTTCATCTGTAATCAGTAAAATTGATCTACACAAATATCTGACTGTGAAAGACTATTTGAGAGATATTGATCTAATCTGTAGTAATGCTTTAGAATACAATCCCGATAGAGATCCTGGAGGTGAGCATTAGTGAATTTTTTTTCCGGGGATGGAGTGGGGGCTGCCAACACTTAGTGAGGGTTGATTTTTATATCAGATGCTTTTTTTTAAACTTTTTTATTTTTAGTTATTATAGGTACATAATAGTTGTATGTATTTATAGGGTATATGTGATGTTTTGATACCAGCATACAATGTATTAATCAAATCAGGGTAATTGGAGTATCCATCACCTCAGGCATTTATCATTTGTGATAGGAACATTCCATTTCCACTCTTTTAGTTATTTTAAAGTATATACTAACTTATTGTTGATTACAATCTCTTTATTGTGCTATCAAATATTGTTCATTCTAACTAACTATATTTTTGTACCCATTAACCATCCGCCCTTTATCTCCCCCTCCCCGCTACCCTTCCCAGACTCTGGTAACCATCATTCTACTCTCTTTCTCCATGAGATCAATTGTTTTAATATTTAACTCCCATCAGGTGCCATGTTATAAACATTTTACATACATAATGCTATTTAATTCTCACAACAACCTTATCCCCATTTACAAATGGTGGAAGTTCAGGGAGGTTAAAACCTTGCTCAAGGTCACAGTGCCAGGAAGGGGCAGAGGCAGAATTTGAATGCAGGTTTCCTTCACTCCTAAATCCCTGTTTATTAACAATTACATAATATATCCTCTAATGCTGCAGTCCCCAACCCCTAGGCCATGGCCCCATATGGCAGAGCTGCTGCCGCCCCCTACACCCCCATCCCCATCAGTGGAAAAATTATATTCCATGAAAGTTAGGAAGGGAGGTGCACACATAGTAGGTGAATGGCAGGCAACAAAACAAAGCTTCATCTACATTTACAGCTGCTCCCCATCGCTCACATCACTGCACCCCTACTCCCACTGCACCCCATCCTGTCCTTGGAAAAATTGTCATCCATGAAATAGGTCCATGGTGCCAGAAAGGTTGGGGACCGCTCTTCTAATGAGACACAAAATAACTTCTTTACTTTATGTATCAGTGCTCTTTCTCAAAATGGAAAAATAGACACTCTGTAATAAAAATAGGTTTTAAAAGATTCTCTTAGTTAAGACCATTATAATTTTTATTACAAAAGTGATACAGTATAATACTTGCTAATAGTAATATTAAAAAAATCTAAGTCCCCCATTTCCTTTTTTCAGAGGTGGGCACTTAAGTTTGGATATCTTTCCAGACCTTTTTCTACGCTTATACCCTCTATAGTCTAAGCTGCCTCTATTAATAACTAAAATTTATAAAATGTTTTTAATGATATATTTGTTCTGCAACTTGTTCATTTCTAAGAAATGTTCTTTCTCAGGTTCTTATTTTTTCCTAGCTTCCTGTTCTTGTTTTATGGATGCAGTGTTCTTTATCAGTGGACTGAAAACATTTTTTTAGTAGTTCTATTTTCTGCATTTTTCTCCTCCAGTATATTTGCCTTTTGTTTTTAAATTGGTAGTGCTTTTCAGTCAGATTGATTAGCATAGGGAACCACTGAGAGTTTCTTCAACAATTGAAAAGCTCACTTTTCTTCCCTCCCAGTCTTCTCCTCCACCCTCTTTAGGCTTTTCTCTGTAGTTTATAGTTCTGGAGGTAAGCAGGGGGAAATAGGCCAGCAAGAACGCCCCTTAATTGTAGGAAGAAGAAAACAGTTACTCTGGAGACAGAGGGCTTTTTCTGTTCTATTGCAATCATGTTGCTGCTGCTTATCTTTCTATCCATTGTAGCAATCTGAAATGACTTTAGTTTGAGCTAAATTACTAAAGTTTGAACCAGTGGTGTTCAAACTTTAGTGGGCATCAGAATCTCCTAAAAGGCTTCTTAAAATATAAATCAGTGGGCCCCATCTTTACGGTTTCTTGTTCCATAGGTGTGGGGCCTGAGAATTTGCATTTCTAACAAGTTCCCAGGTGATGCTGATGCTGCTGGGTTCAAGAACCACTGCTTGGACTTTGCCCTGACTTTCTTCAGCCCCAATGTCTTGTGAGAAGTCCCCTTAATCACTCCTTGTAGCTATTTCTTGTAGCTATACCTATCAGTCACAACCTGGGAATGAATACTGCAGTCTGTTGTCCTGTGAGGCATATTGATCCAGCAGTTCAAGCAATCTTACTTTCACTTATTACCTGTCTTGTGCCTTAAAGCACATTACAGTTTACACCACTCATTCTCTGAGATTAGCATTTTTTCAGTGTTTCCTGTGTAGGATTGCTGTTTCATTGTCTTTGTTTAGTTTCTCTGTCAATGCAATTACATCCTCTGTATCTCTTCCAAAATTTTTCCACAGTCCTTATTCATTAATGACACTGACAGCCTTATCTTTTGTTTTTGTTGGCATCATTATTGTTTAGTCTCTTGCTATTCATCGATTCTTTTTTTTTTCCCCTGATATTTAAAAGGGATTTGAATAGGGCAAAGCAATAGAATCATTTGGGTTTAATCTGCCATTTTGAAATAGATGTCCAGGACATTAGATTAGCACCGAAAACAGAATAACACAATTTCAATAACTTTTACTGTTCGTGGTAAAAGTAATTGTAAGGGCTACCATTTTAGCCCAATATTGAGTTTATTTTTAGTAAATATTTGAAAGGAGAAATTTAAGAATTACATTTTTTTACTCATTTTATAGATCGTCTTATTAGGCATAGAGCCTGTGCTTTAAGAGATACTGCCTATGCCATAATTAAAGAAGAACTTGATGAAGACTTTGAACAGCTCTGTGAAGAAATCCAGGAATCTAGAAAGAAAAGAGGTAGGAAAATGATTTGGCATCAGAAAAAGATGCTTCAGATATGTATTGAGTACTTTAAAATAAACCTTCATATAACTTTGAAATCTGGAAATCCTTCTTGACATCCCACATGTCTATTTATAAGGTTGTAGCTCCTCCAAATATGCCCCATCTTACTACCATGTGATGCCAAAGCAAAATTCCACTCTTGCTGGTGATAAAAGATCAGATGCAGAGCAGAATGAAAAGCTAAAGACACCCAATACTCCCATGGCTTGCAGCACTCCTGGTAAGCGCTGGGGTAATTTTCATTTCTGATATTGTAACCTTTGTTCTCTTCTAATCCCATTCACTTTCTCCCTCAGTTTTCTTTATATTAATGCAATGAATTACATTGATTTTGTTAATATTGAGGCAACTTTACATTCTCGAAATAAATCCAAGCTAATGTACCACTTGCAACTCCAATTTACCATCTAATTGTGGATTGATTTGAAACTGATTTTTATTTTCTGTAAATTCTGGCCTATTCCCCCTCTAGTTTATTTCCTATTCCCCTCTGTTTTTATGGTGTAACTCCAGAGGGTACCAGCCCGAAACCTGTGGGGTTTTTAAAGGCCTACCTTCCTTGGCAGGCCCTTAATTCCAATTTTTGTTCTGTAAGCCCCATGAATGTCAGAATTGCTCAGCCTCTCTTATTCATTTGTTTTCCCAAGTTTTGGTGCCATAATTTTCCACTGCCTTGTTAGATCTCTGTGTGTGCGCACACGCGCGTGTGTGTGTGTGTATGCGTATGCTGAGATTAGAACCTTCCCTTACTGTATTACAAGTTTGTCCATCCTGGGGTGATTGATTTGAGATGGATAAAAGAGGAAGCCCCACCCCCTTTCTTTTATAAAAATGGGAGAAGGCAGCTGGGAAAGGTAGAATGAGAAAGGAGAATTAGCAATAGGCCTCCACTGCCAGAATGCTCTCAGTCAAATCAACTTTAAGCAAATATATATAGATGGAAATTGAGGACATGGAAACTGGCTCCCTTAAAACAATCAATTTATAGCTATATGACCAAAAGGATTACACATACTATGTCCACTCAAGGACATATACAGGAATGTTCAAAGAAGCAATATTCATAGTAACCCAATGCTGGAAACAACTCAAATGCCTATCAACAGTAGAATAGAAATTATAGATTATTATGTAACAGTGATAATGATTAAATGTAACTACATACAGCATTATGGATGAATCTCCCAAATAATGTAGAATGAATCCTGGGCACACTTTTAGATATAATGTAAACTTAAGAAAAATATGTGTTTTTTATTTCATATATATATGAAGTCAAAAATGGACAAAACTAATCCATGGTGTTAGAAATCAGAATATCGTTTACCTTAGAGTATTGTGACTAGAATGAGGATAACTTCGGAGTGTTGGTACATGTTCTGTTTCTTGATCTGGTTGCTGGTTACGTGGGTTACTTCTGTTTGTGGATATTCACTGTATGTTTATGTTTTGAGTACAGCTGACCCTTAAACAGCATGGGTTTAAATTGCACAGGTCCACTTATGCATGGATTTTTTCTCGGTAAATAATACTGGAAAAATTTTTGGAGATTTACAACACTTTGAAAAAACTTGCAGACGAATCTCGTAGCCTAGAAATATTTTAAAAAGCTGAGAAAAAGATGTGTCATGAATGCATAAAATACATGCAGACACTAGTCTATTTTATCTTTTACTACCATAAAATATACACAAATCTATTATAAAAAGTTAAAATTTATCAAAACTTATGCACACACATTTTTTTATTTCAGCATATTATGGGGGTACAGATGTTTAGGTTACGTATGTTGCCCATCCCCTCCCCTCCCCAAGTCCAAGCTTCAAGCATGTCTATCCCCCGGATGGTGCGCATCGCACTCTTTGTGTACACGTATGCCTGTCCCCACCTCCCCCCTACCCGACATCGAATAAATGTTATTCTCATATGTGCACTTATGTGTTCATCAGTTAATACCAATTTGATGGTGAGTACATGTGGTGCTTGTTTTTCCATTCTTGGGATACTTCACTTAGTAGAATGTGTTCCAGCTCTTTCCAGGAGAATACAAGAGGTGCTATATCACCATTGTTTCTTAAAGCTGAATAGTACTCCATGGTATACATATACCACATTTTATTAATCCACTCATGTATTGATGGACACTTGGGTTGTTTCCACATCTTTGCAATTGTGAATTGTGCTGCTATAAACATTCATGTGCAGGTGTCTTTTTTATAGAGTGTCTTTTTCTTTCGGGTAGATGCCCAGTAATGGGATTGCTGGATCAAATGGTGATTCTACTTGTATTTCTTTAAGGTATCTCCATATTGCTTTCCACAGAGGTTGCACTAGTTTGCAGTCCCACCAGCAGTGTATGAGTGTTCCTATCTCTCCGCATCCACGCCAACATTTATTGTTTTGGGACTTTTTGATAAAGGCCAGTCTCACTGGAGATAAGTGATATCTCATTGTGGTTTTGATTTGCATTTCCCTGATGATTAGAGATGTTGAGCATTTTTTCATATGTTTTTTGGCCATTATTCTGTCTTCTTTTGAAAAGTTTCTGTTCATGTCCTTTGCCCACTTTTTGATAGGGTGTTTGATTTTTTCTTGTTGATTTTCCTGAGTTCTAAATAGATTCTAGTTATCAGCCTTTTATCGGATTTGTAGCATGCAAAAATTTTCTCCATTCTGTAGGTTGTCTGTTTGCTCTTGTGACAGTTTCTTTGGCTGTGCAGAAGCTTTTTAATTTGATCAGGTCCCATTTATTTATTTTGGTTGTTGCTGTGATTGCCTTTGGGGTCTTCTTCACAAATTCTTTGCCTAGGCCAATGTCTAGAAGAGTATTTCCAACATTTCCCTCTAGAATTCTAATAGTTTCACTCCTTAGGTTTAAGTCTGTTACCCAGCTGCACACACATTTTATATAATGCCATTTGCAGTTGAGAGAAATGAAAGCAAATGTAAAGATGCATTATTAAATCATAACTGTATAAAATTAACTATAGTACATACTGTACTACTATAATAATTTCATAGCGACTTCCTGTTGCTCTTGTGTTGAGCTCAAGTGTTATAACTGCTTAAAACACCATGTGATGCTAATCATCTCCAGAGAGATAACGTAAGCAGTTATCTCTCCAGTGTATCACAGTAAAAAGTGATCTCTTGGCATTCATGAGTATTTTTCATCATGTTTAGTGTAATATCATAAACCTTGAATAACACCATGGGACCCATACAAAATGCCACTAGTGATGCTGGAAGTCCTCCCAAGAAGCAAAGTCAAGTCATGACCTTACAAGAAAAAGTTGAATTGCTTGATATGTACTGCAGATTGAGGTCTGCTCCTGCTGTTGCCCTCCATTTCAAGATAAATGAATCCAGTCTAAGGACCACTATAAAAAAAGAAAGAAAGAAATGGCAGCCAAGCACGGTGACTCACACCTGCAATTCTAGCACTTTGGGAAGCCGAGGCAGGAGGATTGCTTGAGGCCAGGAGTTGGAGACCAGTCTGAGGAACATAGAGAGAAGATACAGTTTCTACAAAAAAACTTAGTTGATCATGGTGGTGCACACCTGTAGTCCCAGCTACTTAGAAGGCTGAAACAGGAGGATCGCTTGAGCCCCAGGATTTGGAGGTTGCAGTGAGCTATGATGACTCTAGCTCGGGCAACAGAGCAAGACCCTGTCTCAAAAAAAAAAAGAAAGTCCATGAAGCGGTCGCTGTAGCTACATCAGCAGGTGCAAAAACCTTTTACTTTTTGTGAAATATCTTGTCATGCTAAAAATGCAGATTTTATGTGAGTATAGGATTGTTATAAGAAAGACTTAGATTCTAATATGATTCAAGAAAAAGCAAAGTCATTTTATGACACTTAAAAGGAAGGTGAAGAATATAAAACAAGAGAATTTAAGGCCAGCAAAAGATGGTTTGATAATTTTAGAAAGAGGTCTGGCTTAAAAAATGTCAAGATAACAAGAGAAGCAGCTTCTGCTGACCAAGAAGCAGCAGACAAGTTCCCAGACACCATTAAGAAAATCACTGGGCCCAGACACCGTTAAGAAAGTCATTGTAGAGAGGAAGGGAGGGGAGAAAGGCTGTCTGCCTAAGCAGGTTTTTAATGCAGATGAAAGTACCCTATTCTGGGGGGAAAAATTGCCCTATTCTCGTGAGAGGAAAGGTCATTTATTAGAAAGAAAGGGAAGCAATCTCCAGGATTTAAAGCAGGGAGGGATAGGCCAACTCTACTATTTTTTACAAACGAAGTCAGGTTTATGATCAGGACTGCCATTATCTGTAAAGCTGCTAACCCCCAGGCCTTGAAGGGAAATAAATGATAAAGCACCAGCTGCCTGTCTTTTTGGTGTACAATGAGGTAGCCTGGACAATGAGAACCCTTTTTCTAGATTGATTCCATTGATGTTTTGTCCCCAAAATCAGGAAGTACTTTGCCGATAGAGATTTCCTTTTAAAGTTTCATATTATTGGACAATGCCTTTGGCCACCCAGAACCCCATGAGTTCAAAACTCAAGGTATCAAAGTGGTCTGCTTACCCCCAAACACATCATCTCTATGTCAGCCTCTAGATCAGGGGATCATAAAGACCATTTTAAGGCTCATTACACACAGGACTCTATGGAAAAGGATAGTCAGTATTACGGCAGGAGAACCCTGATAGAACATCATGAAAGTCTGGAAGGATTCCACCATTGAAGACGCCATAGTTGTTATAGAAAAAGCTGTGAAAGCCATCGAGCCTGAAACAATAAATTGTTGCTGGAGAATACAGATGTTGTGTATGACTTCATAGGGTTTATGACAGAGCCAGTCCAGGAGATCATGAAAGAGATTGTGGATAAGGCAAAAAAGCTGGGTGTAAAGGATTTCAAGATACAGATCTTGGAAAAATTCAAGAGCGAATAGACACCACAACAGAGGAATTAACAGAAGACGACTTGATGGAGATGAGTGCTTTCAAACTAGTACCTGATGATGAAGACAACGTAGAAGAAGCAGTGCCAGAAAACAGATTGACATTAGACAGTCTGGCAGAAGGATTCTGATTATTCAGGACTGCTTTTGACTTCCAATGTGGACCCTTCTATGATACAGGCACTGAAACTAAAGGAAGAAGGATTGGCACTATATAGAAACATTTTTACGATGTATTTCTGTAAAGTTATACTAAGTGTTCCCACCTCTCCTGCTTCCCCTTCTACCTCTTGCCACTGCCACAACTGAGAGAAGACCAACCCCTCCTCTTCCTCCGCTTCCTCCTCCTCCTCAACCTATTCAACATGAAGATGACAAGGATGAAGACATTTATGATGATCTGCTTCCACTTTAATAAATAGTAAATACGTTTTCTCCTCCTTATGATTGTCTTAATAACATTCTCTTTTTTCTAACTTACTTTATTGTAAGAATCCAGTATATAATACAACATACAAAATATGTGTTAATCAACTATTATCCGTAAGCCTTCTGGTCAACAGTAGGCTATCAGTAGTTAAGTTTTGGGAGTGTCAAAAATATGCAAATCGTCAGTGGCAGATGTCAATGCTTCCAACCCCCACATTGTTTAAGGGTCAGCTGTGCTTTACATACATGTTATACATCAATCAAGAGTTGAAGGTAAACAAAAAGCCTGTGTATCCCTTGTTTCCTTTCCTCCACTCAGCCTGGTAATTTGTTTCAGACTCAACTGCTACCTCTTTATCCATATAAATTTTGACAAGTACAGTACCACTGAACAGTGGTATTTATCCTGAGGTCATCCTTTTTTTTTTTTTTTTTTT